AAGAAGATCAGGTGTATTTCTGAACCCTGCAGAAGGCTTTTATCAAAGGACAGCTTGCTGACAGGCATGGACAGGTGAATCACTTACGAGCAACAAGGAACTTCTGTAAGGCAATGCACTGGCTATGGGGGAGATGCACAGGCATACAGAGGAACGGGCAGCTCTTTACAGTCCCCAGAGACGGGAGGCAGTCACACGTTTCATTATCTTCCCATCAGCAAAGGGGAGAAGCCCATGAGAACACACACCAGTCTGGAAAACTCAACATGAGTGAAAGAATAAAAAAATCCTGGTCTGACTCCCAGGGTTCAGTTGGATTGGTGTCTCCAACCCAGGGTGCCACATCCAAATCTACGAATGCTACCAGCACAACATTGGAAACTTACTTAAAACAGCATGATATTTTGTGTGTGTGTGTGATTTTTTTTTTTTTTTTTGGTAATCAACATGCCATTTTTTTCACCACTTTTTTTTGCAAAGGGAAACACTAACCCAACAGCCTTGTGTGTGTGGTTTTTTTTTTTTTTTTTTTTTGGTAACTCAACCTGCATTATTCTCAAGCACTTATTCTGCAGATGGCAACATCATGCCACAATGCCAAAAGGTTGTTGTCATCTGGCCCAGTGTTTGCTCACTCTCGTACTGAGTTAATTAATGAACATTTACTTGATCTCCCCACTTTTCCTAGAATTTCAAGCATGTAAAGGAAACTCATTCTCAGGAGTCTTTGGGGTCTTTCAAAGTCTGTGAGATGCTTGTTTTAAATAAAACTAGATGGAAGTCTGACTTTGTGGCACTAACCCTTTATACAATAGTCAGAAGGTCTAGAGGCAGCTTATGTTGTTTTCAATAGACTGTCTCCACAATGAAAATGCAACTTTAAAAATGGTCTCAAAATTCTGAGACCCTTGGAACGATGTCAGTTCTCACTTTGGAAAAATTTTTTTTTGAAAAAAGCATTTCTTTACATGTTTTTTCCTGTATTATAAAGGAAGGAGATGGGTCACTCAAAGCTTATTTGATTGATGAATGCAATCCATTTAAAATAGGCTCTAGGAGCCCAGTATAGTGGCCAGTAATCCCAGCACTCAGAAAGTAGAGACAGGACAATGAAGAGGTTCAGGTAAGCCTGGGCTACATAGTGAAACTTGTCTCAAAAAAGCAAACAAACAAATAAAATCATCTCTAAATGCAACTATCCAATCACTCCTAATCCATTTTAGGTAAACTGAGATGTCATTGATTATGAAGTGTGTCAGTGTTTTATGTACAAATAAATTGGAAGTCAAAATGTTAATCAGAAATTCTTGCCTTAGAGATGTTAAAATGAGAAAAGCAGCCTCTTGCTAGTCTTAGCATAGATGGGTGCAGTCCATGGACTGAGGACCTGGGTCTTTGACTCCCAGTCCTGGGTGTCAGGGCAGCCCTGCTTCTTAGTAGCTGGGAACCTTGGACAAACTGCTTCACCATGCCACGCCAGTATGCATTTCTATAAACTGTACTTATCTAAAGTAACAATTCCTACTTCTCACTCTGTTATTAAGAGGATTAAATATGATCTTGTTACTGTATTTAGTGTGTGCCTAGCACTGATTAGCTGTCTCATTGCTGCCTGTTACTATAATTCTTGCAAGAATGGAATTAAGTTAATGATTCTCAAATGCCTTTCTTTAGTCTGAATAAGCTCACCTAGTCTCAGTTGCCAAGCCTTTAGACATTGTTTGAAATAAGTGGTAATGACTTCGCTTCCTCAGAGCCTTAGTTGTCTAGCAACAGAATGAAATCATCTTCTAAAATGGAGTCAAAGCTCCTTCCTAAACTGAAGATCAGCACAACCCAAAGGAGCTGATGACTCAAACACAATGGGTGATAGTTTGGTTACTGCTTTGCATGACATTTGCATGCTCCAGGTTCATTTTTGCTTAAAGTGAAAATCTGCCCACCATCTGCCTCTCTGCTAGTCCCCTAAGATCCCTAGGTGTTGAGCTGGCTGCCTTTGCCTGGGAGAAATAAAGCAACTGGTAAGTATCACGCAGTCACTGCATGTGCCTAGATGGCTGGTGAGTTCAGCTAACAAGAGAAGGAAAGTCTGTCTCCTCCATGGACTAAGGCCACTGTGGTGAGTCACCCACCATGGCGAGTCACCACCACTGTGGACCATCCTATAAAGAGGATAGCTATTGACTCAAACACTAGTAAACCACAAATAGCACTGGGCAGTGTTTCCTGAAAACAATCCCTGAGCATACACACACATGCCTGATGATAAATCAGATGGCACCAGCCAGGTAAGTGGATCAGTAAACAGTCCCAATCAAACCAGTGCAAAGCTTCTCTCATAATTACTCTGTGAGCAATTATAGGGTAGAGAATATACAACAAAGATTTATTTTCATTCTCAAAACTGTCGAGGTTTAAAATAAATATATGACAGCTACTATCTAACAAAGAGAAAGCAAATTAGCACTTAATCAGGACCCTGTTGCCAGAATCTTCTGTCAGCTCTAATCATTTGTTTAACTGGAGTCTTTGAATTCCTGACTCCTTGTCCACAAGTGACCTAGAGTTCTATGGTTATAAAAGATAACTTAGTAGTTCTTTCTTGGGAATAAGAATAGTCTTATAAACACAAATACTATATCACTAGTATATAAACTGGGTAATGATCCCAGAAGGTGATATCAAGTATCTATTGTTCATAAAAGAACTGCAAATAGCATCTTGATGAGTAAATGATCCTTTGGATAGTATATATAAATACCAACTCCTTTTGTTCTTAGGTTTCTGTATGAATTATGATTCACATGTGAATACCAAATCCAACCAATTAGTTATAAAATCCCAAATTTGTATCTGGGATCTGAATACCACACAAATATAATTAAGCTTGCTGGGTTTTAGACATTTTACTTTTTTATCGGGTAATTTTTATTTTGTGTTTCATAGCTTTATTAAGAAAAAGAGTATTTAGTAAGCTTTTAAAATTAATTAGAAATAGGGGCTGGAGAGATGGCTCAGCAGTTAAGAGCCTGTACTGCTCTTCCAGAGGACCCGAGTTCAATTCCCAACACCCATGTTGGATGGCTCACAACCACCTATAACTCCAGCTCCAGGATCTGATACCTCTGGATTCTGAAGTCACCCACACTCGTGCATATACCCCCACAGAGACACGCACATACACACATTATTAAAAATAAAATAAACCTAAAATATTATAAATAAATAAAAAACATTTTTATGGACATTTAGAAAAACAAGGCCTTGGTTAAATAACAGCTGGCTCTAAAAAATATGTCACAAAGATGAACTGTTTTTTTATTTATCATTTTTATTTTGTGATTAGTGGGAACAGAACAGAGTTACCACCTTCGCTCCATATTTCCCAACAAGCTTATGGTTGCCTATTTGAAAGCTTTTGGTTTCTGTGTAGAAACTGCTAAACTCTTGGGTATGCAGCGAAGGAAAGAAGTGGCAGGTGTTCTGGTTGCCTTCTGTTTGCCCCAATCTAGGGATGCAGCCTTGACCATATCTGGGCCTGGAAGGCCACCTCTGTAAAGGTACCCCAGTGCTGACTACCTGTTTGCTGGCTGAAGTCAGCTGGGCTCAACCAATGGGAAGCCTGCAAGACATGGGAGGTTGGAAAGGGCATTTCCTCAATGGTTCCTGTGTCTCAGACCTAGTGACCTAAGGTAGTCAGCTCCTTCCTAGGACCTCTTCACTCCTGGTCGCTAGCTCCTTTCACTTCTTCATCACTGGCACACATGAGTAGGTGAATCTCAATGGATACTAGGGAGCAGGATCCACAGGATAAACACAGCATCTTATAAACTTTTCCATTTATGGGGCAGAATTTTACAACAAAGCTCAAGCTAGCACATGTATAAGACAAAATGAATATAAATTTTCAAAACAAATGGACTTTTGAAAAGCATTCATCTTCAAGTCCCATAATCTGCTGCCTGGGAAGTCCTTTCTCCATTGTCCTCTGGGGTCTCAGTGGGAAAGAACAGGAATGGATAACTTACTAGGAGGAATGGAGCCGTCTTAGCTACATCTCCTCTGTATAATGGAAGGGAGATTGTGGTGATTTCTTAATTACTTCAAGAGGGTCAGTCTTACAAACTACAGAGGCAGCAGCAACAAAATAAGCAGATGAGAAAGAAGGGAAAGCTGGGGGTGGGGTGGGGTTCAGTCTTCCAGAAGGGCAGAAGACAAAGGAGTGCTGCTTGGGGATCTGGGACCGACTCCCAAGACTGCGCTGGGAAATCGCCCTTTCCTATGCTCAGCGTTCAGTGCTTTTGCTATTTTCAGAGCCGTCAGTCTTCAGAGCAAAGTCCCACTACACCTCCAGCTATTTCATTATTAAAGAGAGGTAAGGATATTTTCAAAAAGTCTGTACTGTAAACATTCCCCATGCCAACACTGAAGAAGCATTGTTTGTTTAAAACAAAGCCCAAGTTGATCTTCTTCCCTGGCAATGCTAGACAAAGGGTTAAGGTTAATTATAGACTCTTGCCCCAAATTCCCTTTAGCTGACCCTGGAGCAGAGGATACTGCAGTCTCCAAGGGTGCACAGAAGGAGGAACTTCTGGGTTTCTGGGAGGAGAGTGCAGTCATTAGGGGAGTGTGCCAGGACCCCTCCCAGCAAGCACTCTATTCAAATCCCTCTCCTCCCCCTCACTGCTCCTCCATTCTGTCTCTGATAAGCTTTTACTGAAAATGAGGTGTCAAAGCCTCCAACCATTTGAATACCTCTGGTTTAGGTGGACTATAGGAAGAGACATGAGCCCTCCTACGAGGAAGTCACAAGACCTTGACTTTTTAATGTAACCTAATTGTTCTTAAATGCATTTCTATTAGGATGGGGAAGGCTTATGCTTCTCAGTGTCAAGTCCCAGCTAGAATAATTTTCTTTCCAATTATTTAATTCTTAAAGAGAAGGTAAACATTGTCAGAGGCATTAGAAATTACCAAGAACAGGCAGCTAATTTGCTTACCTGCTGTCCCCGGCATTTGCCACATACAGCTTTCCCAAAAGGCAAACCACAATGAGGGCTGTGCAGCCTCCGGATATATTATATGCACTCCTCTCTCGCTCTATTTGTAGGTCCTGGAGGAGAAAACAAAGTCAGTGCTGGATTGCGCAGAGCTTGTTAGTAAAGACTTTACTCTCAGTCCCTCAGCATAGTCCAGTCTGTCTCTGCTTCAAGAAGAGACAAGACAATCCCCAGTATCTGCTGTCCTACCACCTAACAAACACCTTTGGAGGACCTAGCACAAAACTACCATGTACTAAACCATCTGAAAACCAGAGACAGGAACCAAAGGACAACAGATAGACACAACAGACAAACATGAGAAGAAGAGAATGTAAATCATAGTCACACATTGTAGCTTATGGAAAATCTATTCTTTGCATGGAGACAGCTGCCATGTGGAACACAGAACACATCTGGGAATGGCAAGTACCTAGGCATGAGCTATGGTTTTAACTCCAAAGTCTGGAATAATAAGCTCTTTTATGGTTAGATAAAAGAGGTGACTTAGAGAACAGTCTGCTACTCAGCACAGGCAGGAGTCGATCCATGACTTAGAGATCAAATGTGTGCTTTTGAACTCTGATCTGATGTTTCCTCTTCTGTATTCACTGGTTCACAATGGGACACATTCCTAAGGTATTATAACAGCCCACATCAGGCGGTGACCTAAGTACCTTGTATGTAGTAGAATCTCAGTATGGCCCAAGGACCATCATTATTAACCACATTGTTTAGATGCAGAGCAGTGGATAGACTGACCATATTTATGTGGCTAAAGATTGGATTCCAAACCGTGTCTCCTTTCTGAAGCCCTGTATTACTGCTATGTAATAGGCACCATCAGGGAAAGTGAAATCAGACTGACACTTCTGTTCCTAAAGAACATCGAGACAGGCCCTTTGGTGGAATTGTGAGTTACTAAAAGAAGCCAAAGTTATGTGTCCTCAGGAAAACAGGAGTTAAATGAAGAAAATACACTGGAAATAATTTACTGTTGGGGCAGAGTAAAAGAGAAGGTGGCTGGGTGAAAATTACAAGAGGGAAAAATGAATGGTACCCTGCTTGTTTTGACAACGTTGTTGACAGATTTAGGTCCTGGGTGCTTTTGTGACTCTCTGAATCTCAGAGTCAGAGCTGAGCTGCTTCTGTCAGCCTCCTCAGGGAACAGGGAGAGAATGTAATCGTCCAGCATTTTACTAGCAACTGCTATGCTCCAGGGATTAGCGATGGTGAAGTAAAGATAAAGCACTCACCAATGGAAAACTGCTAACAGATAAACCTAAGCTGAGGGGACAGCTAGGCTATGACGGAGGAGAATCCAGCCTGTAGGAGGTGGGCTGGGTAAGGAGGTATGGAGCTGAGGAGCCATGGGAAGGAGTCGGGGATACGTGGGTGTTTAAAAGCAGTCAAAAAGCCATTTTAGCCGGGTGTGGTGGCACATGCCTTTAATCCCAGCACTAGGGAGGCAGAGGCAGGTGGATCTCTGTGAGTTCAAGGCCAGCCTGGTCTACATAGTGAGTTCCAGCCCAGCTGGGGCTACAGAGAGACCCTGTCTCAAAAAGACCAAAAATAAATAAATAAATAAATAAATAAATAAAAGCCATTTTAAAAAGGGAGAGGACAACAGCATACAGAGGGGTCAAGCATGTAGTCACAGGACTACACTGCATTTTTGGGGTAAAAGATTTAATTTTTATTTTATGTGTATGAGGGTTTTACCTGCATGTATGTCAGTGCACCTATGTCATGCAATGCCCACAGAGGCCAGAAGAAGGTGTTGGATTCCCCTGGAACTGCAGTTACGGATAGTTGTTAGCCACCATGTGGGTTCTGGGAGCCAAATCTGGCTCTTAGCTGCCAGTGCTCTCAACCGCTGAGCCATTGTTCGGCCCCTATACTACATTTTTAACATTTACTTAAACTTTGTATAAACTTGCTTAAGGATTGTTTAATCTGAGGATTAAACTAGGTGGCATGACTGGGGCGGAAGTTAGCCAGCCACACGTTCTTTCCCATACAGTCTAGAAGCTGCACCATTGAGAGCAGTAACTATTCTTGCTCCCTTTAGACTTTGAACACCTTTATCAGGCCAGGTAAATGGTAGTTTAATAAATGGCCATTAAATGGAAAAATGAAGAAATACACTTAAGAGTGTCCGGGTTTCCAAAGCATCTCCTTACCCCCATTGTAGGACAAGAAATGTGTTCACAAATAACAAGCTCACCAGGAAAGCTCACTGAGGTACCAGTGAACTCCTGCTGTAGTTGAATGCCATCAGTGAACCAGAATGAAAGAATGAGACCATAAGCCAAGGATGGCAGGGGGCTCGGGGTGAAGGGTAGGAGGGGTGTGGCTGTTAGGTGGTAGGGGGGCATTCTCTCTTAAAAGAACAGAGAAAGCAAATGTCAAGCTATCTGAATTTTTATGTTTAACTTCTAGACTATAAAGAAGAACCAACAATCCTTTTGTGGGTAGATTTGTTAATTTTTTTGCATGTGTTGAAATAACTAAAAAATTGATATAATATTATATGCACATTTTACATATAATAAATATATAACGTGGGTATCTAAGTTTACATTCAAATTAGTTTTTAATATACTGGGAAGAACTATTCTAGTTACAGAAATTATTCTTTCATAGTTACAATCAACATTTGTTCAAATATTTAAAGTCCAAATGAAAGGCATTTTTTATTAAAAATTCTTTAAGCATCTAAGTGCTTACATGCTGTCTATGGACTACATGTGAATGATGTTTGGACAAGGTTAAGTGAATCATTAGTGCAATCCAGAAGAGTAGAAAAAAATTCTATAGTACACAGAGTTCATGTTAGAGAGCTGTTCATGGCATAGAGTTCCCTGGGATTGAGGCAAATAAGTTTATTCTGCATTGTATGTAGGGCACTTACCATGGTTTCTAATGTAGGAATGGCTGATTTAAAAATTAGGCTTTACAAAACAAGGTCAAGACACAGTGCTGAACAGCAAGATGCCACAGTGGTGTTCGACTTTACTTCTAATGCCAGGGAGATCAGTTAGTGTACTCGGCTCACACCTTATCACACAAACAATAAGGCTCAGTATTGTTTCAAGTGGGTTTCATTATTTCCATCCTCTCTCTACATTCCAACCATACCTTCTTCCTGTAGCTCTCTCTGAGAAAGAGATGCTTACATTTGCCAATATTTTCTCATGAATAATGGCCTGAAGTCTATTTTAATCCAAGAAATGTGCAAGCTCTGACCTCCTCCACATTTGTATGGGAATATACATGTGCATATACATACAGTAATTACAAGTGTGCTCTCTGACAGCATGATCACCGGGCTTTGAAAGATGTGTTTCTGCAGACTCCATCCCCCTTGTGTGCAACTAGAACAGATTCTAAAAATAATTGCTTCTCTCCCCTGCTCCCTACAAGCCAGAATAGCACATTCATTTTTTCCTACATCCACCACCTACTCCTCTCTAAAAGATCTCAGTACTGAAAGGACCATTAAAGGACCATCTGCGTGCTTCTCTTACTATCAGATTAAACATGAGAAATGAAGTCAATAAAGATATATTTACCATTGAATTAACTGCCTTTCCCCCTCAAATCCTCAATCTTTCAAATTAGTTTAAGTTTTTCTACACACTACATAAAAAAATTAAAATGTAGAATTATTATCTTTTTAAACCCTCAATTTTGGGTACCCCACCCCCACCCCAAACCAATGTGATCATGAGAAGTGTCTGTTGCTTTGTGCTAAGGCACGGCTCATGGAATAGTTCTCCATTTTGGCTGTCAGTGAATGACAAGACACACCTTGAGAAGAACTTACTAGCAAAATGTGCACATATTATCATTGCTTTCAAGTGTGCTCCAGATGCTAAAGGATCATGTTAATGACTCAAAAGCTTCATGAGTCAACAAGATAGCTGATTTATCTGCTCTGTCCAGTGTCCTGACAACACCCCGAAGGCAACATTCTACCTAGTGGGCTGAGTTATTCTGTGTGGCAACTGTTAAAACATTACATTCGAGTTGGGCTCATCTCTGAATCAAAGAACATTTCCAACTTCTAAGATTTGTGATTTATTTTGCTCCTTTTTGTGGCAAGGAGTGGGAGTAGACAAAAGAGAGAGTGTGCTCACTCAGCAGGAAAGAATTGCAAGAAAAACAATTGTATTAGCCAGGATGATTGTAATTTGGTTGGAAAGACTCAGAGATGCAACTCCAGGGTCAATCTTTGTTTCTGACAAATTCCAGGTTGCAGAAAGCAAGCTCTATCAGAGAGAAAGTGAGCACTGGATCATTTTAATGGGACCTGGCAGCTCCCCCTAGCAGGGTTATAACATGGTTCTGAGCATATTGCTAACAGTGCCAATCACAAATAAGAAAATTCTGCATGGTTTTAGTATCCGGGCCTCACCCTGGTTTGTTCTGAGAATAAGGCCATCTGCCAGCTAGGTGATGAGTTTCAAAGGGAATCCCCCCAAACCAGCCCTGCCCAATATTGCCACCTGCTGGCTGCTATGGAATTACATGCTCATTTCTCCCTAAAAGAACTTCCCGTTAACAAGCATAAAGACAAAACAAAACTATGCTTAAATATAGCCTCCGTCGGGGTAGGGGCTGAAAACTCAGCAGACCGCCAGAGTGTGCTGGGTTCTGGCCTCCCTTTGGCCTCCAACTACCAGAGGGCCTGAGAACCCAGGGGACAGCCTGACAGCCCCTGGATCCTGCCTCCACAAGGTGGTGAGCTTCCCCTAATTGCGCCATGCCATCCCCCTACCTGGGATTTGGTGAGGCCCCTCCCAAGGCCCCAGGGCAGATCTGCCTTTGGTAGACAAAGGCTGGGATCTGAGAGTGCTGAGTTCTGGACCCCCTTTGGCCTCCCTCTGGCATAGGGTTGAGGATGCACAGGATTGCCTGAGAGAGCCTGGATCCTGCCTCCATGTGGTGAAGGAAGCCTGAATGTATCTGACTGGAACCTGAATTGGGCTTCTGTGGGTACTCCTGAATAGCTGATCTGAAGCCATCAGTTCTCTCCAAAATAAACCTGAGAGAACCTGAACCCTGTACC